CCCCCCCACTCCCGTCCCGCACGTGCTCCCACCCCAGCCGCCCCCCACTCCTATTGCTGGGGCGATGTGAGGCTTTAACACTTATAACAAATGTCACCCAGGAGTTGCCACACAACTGCCTCCCCTTTCTCTAGGAAAGTAACCAGCAGGACACAAGGAGGAGTTGGGGAACAGGGGGGAGATGGGGCAGCTAAATATTTCAGGAGCTGGAGTTCAAGGCAGCTCCCCAAAGAGTTTTTAACCTTCCTCCCCCTCCCAACAGTAATTCTGGCCTCTCCCTCCTAAAATACCAGTTTCCCCATTCTCTCCCTGCTAGCCTCTGCCCCTGGGGTGTGTCTCTCCTAACCCACCCACCTCGGGCTCAGTAGGCTGAGGACTGGACTGGAGTGGAATCATAGACAGAAGGGGAGGCTGCAGGAAGTGGGTTGGGGTGGTTGGTGGTTAGGCCTCACCCACCGTCTAATCCCACCCTGCATGGTTGAAGCATTGGACTGGGCCCTTGGACAGGGAGGAAGGGTGAGGGAGGGGCTCAGGCCTCGAGCAGTGAATAGGGCCAGGGGCCAGAGGTGATCAGGAATAGTCAGCATGGATTCACAAAGGGCAAGTCGTGCTTGACCAATCTGATTAGCTTCTATGATGAGGTAACTGGCTCAGTGGACATGGGAAAGTCAGTGGATGTTATATACCTTGACTTTAGCAAGGCTTTTGATACGGTCTCCCACAATATTCTTGCCAGCAAGTTAAGGGAATGCGGATTGGATAAATGGACGGTAAGATGGATAGAAAGATGGCTAGAAGGCCGGGCCCAGCGGGTAGTGATCAACGGTTCGATGTCAGGATGGAGGTCGGTTTCTAGTGGAGTGCCCCAAGGTTCGGTTCTAGGACCGGTTTTGTTCAATATCTTTATTAATGATCTGTCTGAGGGGATGGATTGCACCCTCAGCAAGTTTGCAGATGACACTAAGCTGGGGGGAGAGGTAGATACGCTTAAGGGCAGAGATAGGGTACAGAATGACTTAGACAAATTGGAGGATTAGGCCATAAGAAATCTGATGAGGTTCAACAAGGACAAGTGTAGAGTCCTGCACTTGGGACGGAAGAATCCCAAGCATAGTTACAAGCTGGGGACCAACCAGTTAAGTAGTAGTTCTGCAGAAAAGGACCTGGGGGTTACAGTGGATGAGAAGCTGGATATGAGTCAACAGTGTGCCCTTGTAGCCAAGAAGGCTAATGGCATATTAGGTTGCATTAAGAGGAGCATTGCCAGCAGATCCAGAGATGTCATTATTCCCCTTTATTCGGCTTTGGTGAGGCCTCATCTGGAGTATTGTGTCCAGTTCTGGGCCTCCCACTACAAAAAGGATGTGGACTCATTGGCGAGGGTCCAGCGGAGGGCAACCAAAATGATTAGGGGGCTGGAGTTTATGACTTATGAGGAGAGGCCGAGGGAGTTGGGTCTGTTTAGTCTGCAGAAGTGAAGAGTGAGGGGGGATTTGATAGCAGCCTTCAACTTCCTAAAGGGAGCTTCCAAAAAGGATGGAGAGAAGCTGTTCGCAGGAGTGACAGATGGTAGAACAAGGAGCAATGATCTCAAGTTGTGGTGGGAGAGATCCAGGTTGGATATTAGGAAAAACTATTTCACTAAGAGGGTGGTGAAGCTCTGGAATGGGTTACCTAGGGAAGTAGTGGAGTCTCCATCCCTAGAGGTTTTTAAGTCTCAGCTTGACAAAGCCCTGGCCGGGTTGATTTCATTGGGATTGGTCCTGCCTAGAGCAGGGGGCTGGACTTGATGACCTCCTGAGGTCTCTTCCAGTTCTATGATTCTAAGTGAAAACATGTTATGTGGGTCAATTTTCCCATTAAAAATAATGGAAAAGGTGGGAGTTATGTTTCAAGTAGTGGGGAATGGGGAAACCCAGCCGCCAGACTGCAAGCTGGGTTGGAGGAGAGGGAGCAAGGCATCCAGTGAGAGGGGGTCTCCGGGAAACGACATGGCGTGCAGTGAACCCTCCACCGCTTTGCAGGGAGGCGGGGGAAGCCCCCCGCAGCCGCTGGCGACCGGCCAGCCAGCTGGGGAAACCATGTTATTTTGGGCACGGTCGTGTTGTTCAAAAAACGTTCCCCCCCCCAAATCATGCTATCGCAAAAATGTGTTAAGCAGGCACGTGTTAAGCAAGTAATTACTGTACGACGTTGCAAGACAGGGCTTCTTGTGCAAGAGCTATGCTCTTTTCTAACAAGTGTAAGCCCTCTTACGCAGGAGCTCTTGCACAAGAGGGCAGTGTGGACGCACAGCAGAGGTTTCTTGTGCAAGAAAGCCCTATGGCTAAAATGGCCATCAGAGCTTTCTTGCACAAGAGAGCATCCACACTGCCATGGATGCTCTTGCACAAAAGCACATGGTAATGTGGACGTGTTCTTGCGCAAGAGTTCAGTGTAGACATAGTCTTGGAGCAGGCACTAATAATACATAATTTAAAGTTTCCTGGATTAATAAATGCTTCCCACATTTGGGCTTTGGCTGGTTTCCCTCAGTGCTTGTATCATGCTATGGAGATAGAATGGCACATAGACAAAGTTAATACTGTATTAATTCCTGCTACAGGTTTTTCTTCTGGTTTGGGAGATAAATATATTGTGTTGGGTAAGTGCTCCCGAGACCTGGCCCCCTACTACCTCAATAGACCCCCAAACCATAGAGGCTTCACTGGATAAGTGCTATAGGAGAGAGACAAGAACAGAGCGGCTATGTCTAGACTGGAATGATTTTCCGCAAATGCTTTTAACGGTAAAGTTTTCCGTTAAAAGCATTTGCGGAAAAGAGCGTCTAGATTTGCACGTAGAATAGTGGTAGAAATGTAGCCGTGTTAGTCTGGTGCAGCTGAAACAAAACACAGGACTATGTAGCACTTTAAAGACTAACAAGATGGTTTAATATGTGATGAGTTTTGTGGGCCAGACCCACTTCCTCAGATCAAATAGTGGAAGAAAATTGTCACAACCATATATACCAAAGGATACAATTAAAAAAAATGAACACATATGAAAAGGACAAATCAAATTTCAGAACAGAAGAGGGATGGGGGGAGGTAAATGTCTGTGAGCTGGGAGGTAAATGTCTGTGAGCTAATGATATTAGAGGTGATAATTGGGGAAGCTATCTTTGTAATGGGTAAGATAATTAGCGTCTTTATTCAAATTTGCGTGTAAAGTGTCGAATTTAAGCATGAATGACAGTTCAGAGGATTCTCTTTGAAGTGAAGTCTAGAAGGGTGTGTCTAGACTACAGGTTTTTTTCGAAAAAACTGGCCTTTTTTCAAAAAAACTTCCCCTGCATCTAGACTGCTGCCGCGTTCTTTCGAAAGTAAATCAAAAGAACGCGGCAATTTTTTCGACCATGGAAAACCTCATTTTGCGAGGAATAACACCTTTTTTCAAAAGTGCTCTTTTGAATAAAGACACTATGTAATGCAAACTGCTTTTTCGAAAGAGAGCATCCAGACTGCCTGGGTGCTCTCTTTCAAAAAAGTGGCTCACTTTTTCGAAAGTACAGGCTGTAGTCTAGATGCTCTTTTTTGAAAGAGGCTTGTAGTCTAGACGTTCCCAGAGTTGCTAATTTTTGCTTTATGCACCCACTGAGTAAAGGACAGAAACTTGCAGTTCGCCATGTTATCTGTTGCGTACAAAACAGCACTGGGGGGAAAAAAATGTGTGATATCTATTGGCTGATTCAGTAGGGCTTATTTTCTGTGTGTTTGCTTTGTTCACAAGTATTTTCCATAGCAGTGTTTCATTTTACAGAAATGTTTGAGCCAGGAAGATTTCTCTCTTATTCTGCGAGCAGTTTGAGAACACTATTAGCAGAATATGTACGGTTCAAAATTGCTATCCCAAGTTGTTGCTTAGACATTAGGAGGAAATAACTACTACTTTTGGACTGTGTGGTTAGCTCAGTGGTCCATAAAGTAAGCTGTGTCCCCCTTACTCATAAAGTAATCTGTCTGAACCCCTCTTCCCCCGGCAGTGAGGCCAGGGGC